CTGGGAAGTCTATCATCACGGTGCCGGCAGAGTCAGTGTCTGGTGGAGGCACTCTTCCTGGTTCATAGATGGCTGTCTTCTCACTGTGTCCTCATGCGGTGGAAGGGGTGAGAAAGCTCTGTGGGGTCTCTTTTATAAGGCCTCTAATCCCATTCATGAGGGACCTACCCTTATGATCCAATTACCTCCCAAAGGTCCCTACCTCCTAATTACCTTGAAGGTTAGGATTTTAATATATAAATTTGGAGGGAGGTGAACACAAATATTCAATCTAAAGCACCCTCGCTCCTGATTTTTCTGATCTCTTTCTCTCCAGGTTATTCTCCTTGCTTCTATGCCTGTTTCTTCTAGGATCCTTTTCTGATTCCTAGAATCTAGACCTCAGAATAAATGACATGTCCAGGAAACATCACTTTATAGGTATAAATTAAAGGCTGTAGGGTAGATAAAATCACCCAGAGAGGATACATTCTGTGAAAAGAGAAAAGGGACAAGTATGGAACCCAGGAAAAGCCACTTTATAAACATGGTTGAGCAGTGCAGATCATAGACTACATTTTAAAACAACTGTTGCTTAGAAAAATATCCAGATTATTACATTTTTTTATTGTGACACAATGTTTTTATATTATACTACAAGTTCCCACAGGTTCCTTTCAGACTTTGGATTCCATAATATTAAATAAAGGTAACTAGTTTTTACCTTTACAACCACAATTCTAACAAAGGAATAGATTTTAATTTTATCATTCCATATTAGTGACAGAGAGGGCTAAAGTCAAGCCAAGCATATGGTCCAATGAAGGTGTAGGTGCCTCACAGGTACAGCCACAACTATGATGGGTTTGAAACAAACACTATCAGAATAGGGCTGGAGTTTAGTGAAAAGGATCAGGTGTCCAAGCCTGAAGTTCACAACTGTAGGTAGAACTGCAACATGGGCAGAGGTTAAGACCAAAAGCTGTCAGTGCCAGGACGGGGGGGCTCTATGGGCCACCACCCCAGGAGGTTGCCTGGAGGGTGGGCTCAGAGTAACAAGAGACCTGAGGTGAGTCCACTCAATAAATTGAGATCAAAACAAGAGATGTGCCAGTTACAGAGGCCAATCCTCCAAAAGCTTTTGGAAAGCTCACCCGTTTTAGAAGTTGTTTCCCTAAGTTGAAGGGCCTAGGTCTCAATTTTTCTGCTGTTTCTTTTTCCCTTTCTGTGAACTTTCAGATGAATCCATCACTTGTCCCCTTGGCACCTGCTTTTGCCATGTCACCAGATTGTCCTGGTAGGGCACAATTAGAAAACTGAATTTTTCATTGTGTATAATGAGACTCGTAGCATTTGTCCTCCTGGTTAAAGTGCCCTTTCATCACTTAATTTTCTATTGTAAAATTCTGTCTAAAAAAATAAAGCATAGTTTCTCAGGTTATTCTAACTAAATTTGGGCCCATACCAAGGAATATGTCTACTTCTTCCCCCAATCTGAATTTAACAACTCCACCTCGACTTCATTCTACTTCATTCCTCTCCCACTCACGGACAGAGTTTTTATTTTATGTTTACATTCAAGATTCTAATTCCTATAAAATAAAAAGAAATTTTCATGAGAGACTCTATTAATCTGCTTTTGGACCATATTCCTAGGTGGCCTAAGGAGAAACAAATCTTTTTAAAAATGTACTGACAGCTAAGATATTTACTCACTACAAGGTGCCCCCGAAAAAACTTTTGGAGACTCTCTGTTTGCTGTTATTCATGGCTGTAGTATAACAATGTTCATTATTCTTAACATTTAGTAAGAATAATCTTTATTTCAATTGGAATATTATCTCAGATTCTGCAGCCTATTGCATTCATTTTAGGTAGCATATAAAATATCACAGGGTCAATTTGTTGCTCTTCAAACATATATGTATCTTCTTATTCTCAGTCCACAGACTTCCATGTGCTTTAAAGTAGGCAAAATCATTTATAACCAGCAGGATGGAAAGTTGGGCTAATTACAATAACAACTTTAGAGTCGCATAAAAATATTTGGAAAACAGCTGCCATGTGAAGATTGTTTTTATTCACTTCCCCAAAATCAGAATATTATGATCAATTTGTACAGTACTCACTGCCAAAAGCATGTGGAGCTTTGTATACCTCCGTCAACAACAAGTTTTCTTTTTAATTTAACCTTCATAATCAACGATTTTAATTTTTTTAAACTTGTGTACTGTGAGGACTATCTGTGGGCTGGACTATTACATTGAGCATGTTCAGCTAATAGATTTTATTGTTTAGGCTGGATTTTTCATTTAAAGAAGTGGGAATCAGGCACTTGTCAAAATAATTTAAATTTTTTTTTATTAAAGTATTGTTGGCGTACAATACCATGTTAGTTTCAAGTATACAACATAACGATTCGACATGTATATATGTATCTTATGATGTGATCACCACACTAAGTCTAGTAATCAATCATCTGTCACTATGCAAACATCACAATATTATTGACTGTGTTTTCCTTTATCTTTTTCACCCATGCTCTCCTCTCCCTCCCCTCTGGCAACCTTCAGTTTGTTCTCTGTTTCCATAAGTCTGTTTTTGTTTCGTTTTGTTTGTTTTTGTTCTGTTTTTTTAGATTCCACCTATAAGTGAAATCATACAATATTTGCCTTTCTCTGTCTGACTTATTTCACTTAGCATAATAACTTGTAAGATAAGTTTTAATACAATATCCTCACCCAAAAAGCAAATGAATAAAACTGTGCGCTGGTTATCTGGTTACTTCTTTTTTTTTTTTTTTTTTTTACTGATTGAACTTTTATAAAGGGCAGTTTTTCTAAGGATTGCAAAGTAATTCAGTGTACAACATGACTTGGCTTGTTTAAACTTCTTTGTACCATTCAGGTGAAACATCACCCTTCTGAAATTATGTATATTCAGTAGAAGAACAGCAATTGCACTTTTGGTCAGATTAATCTAAATAGCATGACATATAGATGGTCTCTATTATCTAAAATCAAAATAAGTAGAAATTTTTTTATTTATATGATTTTTGTTTTGTTTTTGTAGTTACACAATCCCCAAGTTATGTCTAGTCTCTAAAGGTATTATTTATTTACTTTATTTATTTTTTTATTATTAGTTTCAGGTATACAGAACAATGCAATAGTTATCCTTTTCACCCTTCCAACAGAAACAACCTCCCTCCCCCATCTATATATATATATATATATATATATATATATATATATATATATATATATAGAGAGAGAGAGAGAGAGAGAGAGAGAGAGAGCAAATGAATAAAACCGTACGCTAGTTATCTGGTTACTTCTTAATCCTCCATTTCACCTGTAAGGACTAAGTTTGTTGTAATGAAATGAATAAAATATTGTATTATTATTATTTTATTATTCTTCCTTTCCCAATAAAAATGTGGTACTTTTGAAAATGACAGTTATGTCTCTATTTTTTTATTTTCCACCTATTTTTCTTAATTGCTAACAGAGTATTTAGTACATAGTAGTCTTGCATAAATATCTGATAAATGAATGAAGTCAGACTCTAGCCCCAGAAAAAAGAAACTTATTAAAGAATTAAATATCTATTTTTCCCCAATTCTTATCTCTATTAGCTTGTAAATTATACAGGTGCGTTTAATAACAAAATCATACTGCCACACGTAGGTAAAATAGAAAGTTCATATTCTAGTTCTTTTTCTGTCATAGCAGAACTTCCAGAGTTAGACAGTTGAGAGGATATAAGTTAAATAATTATTGGTTCATACTGATGATTCCCCCATCAAGCCAATGTGGTCACCCTGCTTGTTTAAATGTAGATCTATATTTTGTCTGATGAAGGAAAATCTAACATGTGCAGATTACATTTACTGAGTACATGATATATCTTATTTACACTATTCCAATTTATTTCTCCAAGCAAATTGGTGGCATAGGTATTATTACCCACATTTTGCAGGAAAGGATATTGAGACAGAGTAAAGCATCTTGCCCAATTGCACACAACTCATAAATAATGGAGTTATAATTTGTTCTTACATTGACTTCAAAATCCAAGCTCTGTCCATGGCACCACACAGCCAAGTATTAAAGTGATTAGATGTCAGGTGCCATCATACTTCTCTTTGAAGCATCATTGATTTCATTAGACAGTTATTAATATATCACTAGATCTAACATTTTTCAAAATAAATTTGATTGTAAGAGTAAGGAACTCAAGTAAGAAGCATTGGTTTTTTAGTGTAAATTTTCCTAAAGATCCTTTCATTGCCAAGAAAACATTTACTCTCCGCATAGCCTGATTATATAAAATATCAATTTTATATGTTTATTAAAGTGTTCCTATCAGTCAAACTCAACTGTTTTTTTTAAACTTGAAAGCTCCTTGTTTCAAGACTTGCTTGTTTGTTTGTACAAATGTCATATAGCTTAAGTTATGACATAAAAATGATCCCACTAAGCTGCAACCTCAGTTCACACACCGACACACCTGCCCACAGTCTCTCGATTAACTCACACTGATTTTGAGTTCATGTCTGAGCTTGTGAATAGTATATAGGAAATTTTGACATAATTCCTAAAATCTTTAAAAACCATTCCTGTTTTTCAACTAGTAAAAATTTCTTTGATATGATTTTTAGAGTATTAATAAAATCTTTTTTGTGTTGGATCTTTTTAATGTATTCTTGATCTACGTTTTGAAATACAGAGGTCAGGCTAATTGGCAACAATGAACAGCTATATTAAACAATGCTTTTAATATCAAAGCAGACAAATACCAAATATCAATCAACATGTCAACCTCCCTAGTAAAGTTGCATGATGTTCATATTATCATTTGATTGAGTCCACCAAGGGGAAAATATGATTTAAATAGAAAATGAGCTTCTGCATCAAGCTCACTAAAAAAATACTAAAGAGATTTTTATTTTCACGATTCCACTGGAAATTGAAGACTGTGCTGCTTCTCTGGATAGCATTAGTTAAAAAAGACGTTTCATGGGGATCCCATCGGCCAAAGTGGGTGAAAAAACAAATCGATAAGGTCAATAGGTAGGACAAAAACCCTTGCATACCAAGGATGCTATAGATGTAATAATGCTTTAACATGAATGTTTTTAAATTTTTAAAGGAAAAGTCCAAATGCAGCACATATAACCTAATCCTTTTGATCAATTTTATTAAGAACAAAAGCATAAGTCATTTGAATAATCATTTGGAGCTCATGATAACAAAATGTGATCTATGTTAGCGCAACCAGAGTTTATTCTTTTCTCTAGATGCTTTTGCACCAATGGAACTGTCACTGGTATTACTTAGCTTTGTTTATGAGCACAAATATGTTTCATGAATGTAGATTCCATGTCTCTTTCAGAGATTATTAATTTAAAAAAGACAAGCAATTCCATAAATAACAGGTTTCTGTACTTTCTCAGTAATTCTTCCTTATAAGTGTAGTGGAACTATTTCAGAAATACAAACATAAATTCCCTTACTCAGTTTCCTTTTTCTTTTCAAAGATGGAAACTAAACCACTTTACAATTTCATTGTCTTTCACTGTATTATAATACTTGACATAAAGAATAGCTTTTGAATAGGTAAAAGATACAGAAATATTAGAAGAAAGAAAAGCTCATGGTTTTTAAGATAAATAGTTGTGTTCAATTTTATTCAGGAGTTATTACACCTAAATTTTATGATTCTTGCTTTGAATCATAAAGTAGTTGCAATGTTTCATTTTTAAATCAACTTATTCCTTATTCCGTTGCCCCAGTTATACTTCTAATACTATCTGTCATTGAGCAATCATAGATGGCACAAATATAGTAAGATAGGTAATATAATCAATTTAAAGTATTTAAGTAAAAACTTTAAAACTATTTCTTATTTGTATAAGCATCAGTTTTCCATTTGGAATATGTAAATACAAATTTATTAAGATTAATGCATATTATTGAACATTACATTTTTTTAGATCCAAGAAATTAACAGAGACAATGACCAAGAACATAACTATGAAGAGGATATTACCTCATTTTCTACATGTTTTCCCAGTAAGTATTCCTATATGTTATGTATACA